TACAAACATGTAGATGGTTAGATATTGCAGCCAGTTCAGAAATAGCACCAACTGACTCCTTTTCTCTGCTTTCCTTTTCCTTTCCTTTATTTTTTTTAAGCGGGGCCAGGTTTAACTCTTTTCTGCATTCACATGCTCACAAATATACTTCCCTTGAGCTGCCAGAAAGCATCAGATTGCCTGATCTGCATAATAAATTTTAAAATCTTTTCAGAAACACAAAGACATTTGCTTCAGGCATTATGATTTCATCATCACCACCATAAACAAGTATAAAGCCAACCAATCTCTGGTATTCCAACCAAAGCCAAAAGATATAGTACTTTGAAAATGTTTGGTAGAATTATAATTATCTAAATTCATTTGGATCCCTTTTCCAATCATACTCCATACTCCATACTCCAATCTTAGAGTATTTTGGAGTTGGGCAATCATTTACTTATTGCCATGACCACTACTAGATGACCCCAAAATAAAAATGTGATTCTTACAAAGAGATTTATAAAATGCAAATACTCTAAGTAATATTTGTAAACAAATCACACTGTCAGATGAAAACATTCTGGTAACCAAAGTAAAGATGCTATTTTTAATATTTAATAGCAACTTTAATTCTTGTGCTCTTTGTAAAACTACAATATCAATTCCACCCATGAACATACTGAGTAAATGTGAGAAAGTGGAAGGTTTTCTATGATGTATTTCAGATCTCACCAGAATGCATCCTTATTCCTTGAATGACATAAGAAACAATACCATTAACACCACCAAGACTACTTTCATATTTAGTTTTTTAGCTACCTGAGAGTTAAAACCACAAGTGATAAATGGTTTTTCTAGATTCACTATGATATTGATATATAAAATTTTATTCAAAATTTGATCCAATTTGGCTTTTAAGTTTATAGCCAAAATCACATTTTCAAGAGCTCAAAACAAATAAGCAAATATAAAAGCCAATTCTGTACCTAGCCAGTAAATGGAATATAATTACTCCATTCAGTCAGAAGCTGTGACTAAGTGACTCTAATCGAAATGCAAGGTAAGTGGATTTCTGAGGACTTGAATTATTGAACAAGTAAAGTAGGGTCCTGGAGCTCAGAAAATGGAAAGATATCATTATCTTTTTTTTTCCTGGGGAGTCCAGAATGCCCATTCACCCCTCTGGCAAAAGTAGAATGTACAAAAGATTTTACTTCTAAAGTAAATGAAATACCCTCTATTTGTTAGCTTCTATTAAAGAAGTGTGCTGCATACTTCATCTCACCTTTTCTTCATTGTAACATTTTCACATTACACAAGTAGCATTATGTCACCAAGACAAACCGATTTCCTTCGTGTAAACACAATACAACATGTTTGCTGTAAGGTATCTCCATCAATGTCAGTGACATACAAGGAAAGTCTCAACAGTCTGCCCTGTCACTTACGGAGAGGGGAAAGCAAATTGTTTACTCACACTCAATTAAATTCTCAGGCCACTATTGCTTTAGCTCATTGAATTTATTCATAAACTCGCCACTGGCACTATATTACAACCAGGAGATACTCACTTTCCTTTCACCAGAAACCAACTGAACAAAAAAGGCAAAAGGAGATAAGATGTCAATTACCTTTACCAAAAGATAGACTTATTTATTCTGTTTCTAAGAGGAGCTGGCACAAAAGAGAGAGGTATGTCTTTCACTTGATGACTTGGTCCCTCTACATAGCAATCAGTGGTATACCAGAGCAGCAGAGACCATGGGGATCTGCAGTGAAGTCCTCTGCTGCTAGCTCACATATGGATTCTTGTCAAGGTACTCTCTCTGGACCTCACTTTCCACATCTGTAAAACAAGGGAACCAGCCTAGATTTTCTCAAAGGCCCTACTAGTTCTAACATTCTTTGAATTCAAAATGAGTTTGATGCTTTAACATTGTTTATCTTTGTTAGACACAGAACATTAGATCTTCTCAAAACATTAATCAAAGGGGTTTCCTTTCCCAATTTGCCCAACTTTATAAAATAATTAATAAGGTTTTATATTGGAGATCAGGCTAAAAAGAGCTCAAAGTAACAGAAATCCCCCTAGATCACATTTTTTCATCTGTTCTTCCTTACTCTTCTTCCCTCCTGTGTATTCCACACCATGGTTCTGGTCACACATTCCATTACAAGCTGTTCAATGATGCCTGTCTCCTTTTCCTCACAGAGGAGTATCAACAAATGTTTCCCTCAAAGCCCTTGAAAACTCACAGAGAAATGTTCATTAACAGCAGTGCTGGAAAAGGCTAATCAAACTCTGCAGCTGTTTTCTTTGCAGGCCCATCTTCTCCTCTGTGCACAGATGTCTCTTCCTCCATAGACTCTCAAAATGGTGATGAAGCAGAAAAGTTATGACCAGATGTCAAAAACAGTTATCAAATAGTTCATTTTATCAAAATAAAACCTCTCTCCATTCCAACTTTTGCCCTTTCAGGGAACTGTTCAGGTACTTATTACAAATACGTGAACTATAATTTTTTAAAACTTCCAGAACATCATTTTCATCTGGGAAGAATCTTGAGCCACAATTGTAAGACCTAATGGTGTTTATAGGAACATTACAGGTACTTTGTGAACTCACAAGCTGTAGAAATCAATAGGCATCTTGCATAGAAGTCTTGCAATTGATTTTTCCAGGAGAGTCAATTTGTAACTTTAGGAGAGGCAGAGACACTGAGAGGATGTAAGCACACTGGAGGTTAAAAAAAATCACAGGCACATGGAAAATGCCGCATTGCGCTAGATGAGGTCGTGTCTCAAAGAAGTGGGGTCTTCGGTGACAATGTTGCTCAGGAGTGGCTAAAGGGAAATACATAAAAAGACTAGGCAGCTCCTGCAATGCTCTGGGGCTTGGAGAAGGAAAGCTCTTCGAGGTACAAAGAAAATGTATTTCACAGAGTGTTCCTGAGCACCCTGATTTTAAACATATACTGTTACTTTTTTAAGGATAATGATAGCCAGTAAGCTCATTCTCTCCAGTTTTTAAAAATTGTCTGAAATTATAAAAATAATGCATCATGCACTTGAAATTTGCCAAGAGCATAGATTTCAACTGTTCTCATGACCACCACCACCAAAAAAAAAAAGAAAGAAAGAAAAAGAAAACCCAAACAAACAAACAAAAAAAACCCCAACTAACTACGTGAGGTGATGAGGTGATGGATGTGTTAGCTTGATTGTGGAAATCATATCACGATGCATTCATACATCAAAACATCATGTTGAGCACCTTAAATATGTACAATTTTTATTTGTCAATAAAAATGTAAAAATAGAGAACTATCTAAAATTAATCTATTCACTCAGTAAAGAAGTCTAAGTGCCATTCAGTGCTCAGTACCCTTCTAAGCACAGGTGACAGCAAGGTGTGTGCCCTCACAAGGGTACAGTCACCTAGAGGAAGGGGTGAAAAGGCTACATACATCTCAAACTATGCTTATCCCCCCATAAATACTACGCTGACTGCCAATGGCCTTTCTATGTAACTAGAGACTTGTTCTCGACAGCTATCGCTTTCTCTTTTCTTCTAAGTGTTCCTTTACTTCCTCCTCCTCTTATTATGCTTTCTGAAAATTCATAAAAATAAGTTCTACTTTAGTCAAGAGTTAAATAATACGAACGGTAAATATTCTCATAAATTATACTATTTTTATTCTAAATATGTCTAACATTGATGAAGGAGAATTCATGAATACCAAGAAAACTTCTGAATTTGGGGGGTTGGGAAGAAGAGGGTTAAAAGTGGAATTTTAGGGATCAGGGACACATTGTTTAAACTGTAGTGTAGATTTTAGAAGTCTGTTTCAGTGTGTTAAAAATCCCCAAACACAAATGTTGAAAAATAATGCTAGAAAAAAAAACTTTTATGAGGGGAGGGACAAAACTCTTGTTTTGCATAATTTTTACCTTTACTTAAGGGACACAGCTTCAAAAGGAAGTATATCCCCATCATCCAATAACACTGATTTTATGGGGCTTTTATTCACCTTGTTAATTTTTGCTTTGCATGATGTTAACTCTTCCAAAATTAATTTGAAGGTCCTTCTTTGCCTAATGACTGGGATTGAGTAGACATGGAGATGTTGGTAAAAATTTGTCTCTTCTAAAATCTTTATGTGTGCCAGGAATACAATTGAAATAACTGGAATTTTAAGTCAGAACAGTTCACACTAAGCTAAATGATGTTGTTCACATTAACTGTTCAGGAGTAGTATACACATGTAGAAAGCTACAGTCACTGTAGTGCCTGAACTTGGCCTTGAGTTTGAGGTTTACCGGTGTCTAAATGTATAGAATTTCAGGGACTTCAAAGCTTTGATTTCAGTGCATGATTCTTTGAGAAACAAACATCATTTTCTCACCTAGGAAGTAAATCTGTTGTACTCAGTACTGCAAGTATTCCACAAGTCATTAGCCAGTATAGAAGTTCAAAAGATCTCAATCGATTAGATTTTTTAAATAATTTGTTTATTTATTTTTAGCGAGAGAGAGAGAGAGAAAGAAAGGAAAAGAAACATCAATGTGTGAGAGATACATTGATTGGTGTTTCTCACACACTCCCAACTGGAGACGTGGCCTGCAGCCCAGACGTGTACCCTGACTGGAAATCGAAACTGTGATTTTTGAGTTCACAGGACGGCACTAAATCCACTGAGGCACACAAGCCAAGGACTCAATTAGATTTTTTAAAAATGGATTTGGTTCAGAAAGTTGAAGATACATACAAAATCATTTCCAATTTCTACCTGCTTACCTTCGATTGAACTCATTTTTGCCTCTCATACTCACTCCATAGAGATGAACAGAAGTATACTACTGAGATAATTAAGCGAAATGACATCATGTTTTGCAAGTACATCTGAACATTTCAAACTCTAGAGCAGGTATAACCCAGCAGATAAACAAAGAAACTCCAAGAATCGACCACACAACACATTTGGAGCCGAACCTGAAACACGGCTTCAGACACTCACCAGTGAAATGATTAGAAGTGGACGGATAGACACTATCAACACTGTCAGCACTGTCACAGCTAAAAACTTCATCATCTGATTCCTTCGCAGAGGAACAGAGTGAGGAGCTGTCAACTTCTTCACACTTCCCCCTTAAAATTCCACTCATAGCTGCAGTGCTGTCACATGTACCTGTAACAGAACAGGGACAACAACACACTTTAATATTTGACCACCGATTGCATAGTCAAGGTTTCCAAATTGCTTTGGGGAGCTGTGATTTTTTGAATGACATCTACCATATTATCATATCCATGCAAAAATTATATTTTCCATAATGTTTGAAAGCACTGAAAAACAATTATACCTTGATTATTATTTGTACCCTCATCTGACAACAGTATTTCATGATAAAAAGTCAAAATTAACAATGTGGAATCAGAGAGTTGCATAAAGAAATGTTTCAGTGTTACCAAACATTGAAACAGGAGTCAAATACATGTATTTGATTTGTTCTGGTAAACCGTGTGCTGTCTTTGACAGAGCCAGAGTTCAGAACAAAACAGATCACTCTCTTGCACGCTGTCATACCCAGAGCATACTGATTAGGGCACGTCTATCTTGCTTGGAATGTCTTTTTTCTCAGTGCAAAGGCATCTACTTTCCTGGGGCTCTTTGTCCATCAAAAATCAAATTGGTTGCTAGGAATGGCTATACCTGCAGAATTTAGATGCCTCATCATGTTTCCAGTCAATTAAGCAGAGCTATAGGGAATACTTGAGTCCTATGTCAAGGAGGCTGGCTGAGTAAATTTTATATAGGGTAAACCACAGTCCCTAAATATTTTACTGGGTAAAATATTCAATTTAAGTCTTCACTCTCAGTTATCAACACAGTCAGGGAAAGCCAGTCAGAGGTAGCCTGATGCACTTAAAAAAATTTGTTAATGTCAGTTTAGATGAGTCATTAAACCTCTGAGAATAATAATTTATTCAGAGCTATAGAGTAGCTATTAAGGTGATCCGCAGTTGCAAATACAAATTCCTACAAATGCAGGTAACCTCAATGAGGAGTGTCAGATGTAATATAATTATGCAGTGATCTTAGTCTTCTCTTTCATCTACTGTTATTTGTAACAAAGGTATAAAGAAAGATTTCTCTACCCTAAGGGAAATGACAGCACAGGCACAACAATGATAGCATAGGCACAACAAAAAAATGGTCTCACAGCCAAGGAGACAATAGGTGGTAAGTAGCATGACCTGTGGAGAACAGGAGATGCATGTCTAGACCAAAGGGAGAACCTGCCGCTCAAGCCTGGGTTGCCTCCGCTCCATGCCTTCCCCATTTGATCTCCTCTAAAATCTGACCAGTGCCCCATTAAAATGCAGGAGCAGTCCTTACCTCCTCAGGTTTCACAGTCCTCATCTTCTTCTCCCTTGCTAATTTTGTTTATAAAATTAAAGGAGCAATTTTTAGATTACATTATAATTTATTATTTTAATTTCTTGATTTGTATTGACTTTATTGGGGTGACATTGCAATTCTATATCATCTGTATATTGTATTGTGTGTTCACCACCCCAAGTCAAGTCTCCTTCTGTCACCATTTATTCCCCTTTACCCTCTTCTACCTCCCCCCTCCCTCTTTCCCCCTGGTAATCAATCACTATGCTATTGTCTCTATGAGTTGGGTTTTTGCGGGGGGGTTTGGCTTAATCCCTTCACCTTTTTTCACTCAGACCTACAACCCTACTCCCCTCTGACAGCTGTCAGTCTGTTCTATTTAAAGCTCAACCTGGACTGGCTCTATAGGACACACAAAGAATGGTTCAGATCCATGACTTGGAAGGGATAATAGAGTAAGGATTCAAAATACTCCCTTAGCCCAATACAACCCTGCAACACCTTTTAGAGATACTTCAGTTGGGAGAACAAACTTATTTTACAAAGGATACCTGCACAATATATGCTAGCAAGAAGAGACAACAATTTCAACCATCAAATTTCAGTATGGCAGTCCAAACTGTGCCCTCTTGGTAGTAAGGGGCAAGTCTAACTAGAGAGACTTTCTTTACAAAGTAGCAGCAGCCTTGGGACGGGATAAGGAAAATGTTCCTTATGCCCCTCAGTGACTGCAGAGTCTCCTTCAATTTTGGTAGCTACTTTTCTTTAGGATATATTTGTTCTGAGTCCTTCTGATGACTGGCTTCTTCTGCTTCTGTACTTTCTGCTTCTTCATATCCCCAGCTGGCATATGGGTTTTAGATTCTGACAGACTTGCCCGTACCTCAATGGATCTGAACATCTCAACTCTGAACGCCAACTGACTTGTTCTTTCACTATGTCTCAGTTCAGATTGTTGAAAAATGTCATTCAGTCACTTATGCCATTCAGTAGAAAAGAGACTTGCTTGTCTGCTGCCTTTTGTTTAAGAGCCATTTATTATTTGTTCAGTAAACATCTATTGAGCTTTCATCATGTATCAGTGACTATTTTAGATACTAGAGAATAAAATAACAACACAGAAGAAAAAAAAACCTTTCTTTTAATGGTGCTCATTTACTTGGTATTGATGGGTGAAGACAAACAAATAATAAGCAGGTAAGTAAATTAAATGTGTAACATGTCATATGGAGATCAATGTTATAGAGAAATATAAGCAATTAAATGGTAAGTGACTACAAGTTTAGCTGATAAAGAACATTCTGCTTTTAATTGATTGATGAGCTAATGTCACAGTGAGAAAGCATAAAGACATGGAGGGGTGGGGATGGGGGCAATTTTGACATTGGGGGGAAAAAACAGTCCAGGCAAAAGGAATGGTGTGTGCCAAGGCCCTGGGCTGGGCACAGTAGGTGATGAGGTTAGACAGGTTTTGGGCCATATTGTGTGGAGCTTGTGAAGACTTTGGCTATTGTTCTAGTGAGAGAAGGCCACACTACAGGGCTTATGTGACAGACCTGGTTTATATTTTAAAAGGAGCCTCATTATCCTGTCATTTCATAAGAAGACAGAGGGGCTATGGTAAGGGGGAAAGTAGCTTTGAGAGGAGAACAAAAAGATTCAGAATTAAGAAAGATTCTTAGTACTTAGTGGCTCAGAGGAGCAGTTCAAGTTAGAAAATCTGATGAGTCGGATAGCTAGAGAGGTCCTTAGTTGTTTTGTTTGTTTGCTTCTTTTTTTGTTTTTTCAGGGGAAAGAATTTAGAAGGAGATGGAAGGTCAAAGTGCTTCCCAAAGCAAGCTGGTTATTTAATTTTACCTAGAACCACCTCTGTCTCTAGATTTACCAATTATTTATGTCAGTGGAAGCCATCTTACAGACCAGGTTTCAAATAGGACCAGTTCAGATACACTGCACCACTCTGTGGGATCACCTTGCAAATAAAATTAACAATGAAAAAGTAAGCTTTTCTTTATCATGCTAAAAGAATTAATTTTTAATTTGGTAGATAAAAAGGAATATATGGATGGTGACCACTACCAAAGATTTACTTATTTGTGGGAGAATGGAGGCAATAATTTAATAACTATTTTACCCACCATTATTCCTAAAGTTACTTATTCAAGATTTTTAAAAAGTCAAACACACAACCGCTGCCTTTGATTGCCGAGATTATAGGACTCTGACTCTAGATTATCACTGTTTGAAAGCCAGTTTCCAACTTAAATAGTCACTTGGTGACCTAATGTGATCATTATTTAGTTGAAGAAACTCTCTTATTTTCAAGTGATTTCAGAAAGTTTTAGAAGATTTGCTTGTAAAAACTGGGAGCTCTTGATGGTTTAAAACAAATGTTGACATACCTTGTTTATTAGTTATCGGAAACTATTTGGATTTATTTCTTAACTGTTATGAAATTCATGTTAATAATTTGTGTATGAATTTGCTCACATTTATGCTTTTAGTTTCTGATGGCCTTGAAGAATCTTGTAGCAAGTCATTAAAGAGAACTGTATGATTAGATATTTAAGTAAACACAAAGAAAAGGGTAGGAGAAAAAATCCCAAAGCATAAGAGACACTTGTCAAAAGAGACTGATCTTCTTTTGTTTTTGCCAATCTGATCCCACTGCAGTGTACTCTGGTTGCAGTGCTAAAACTGCAACGTTACAAGTATTCCCATGGTGACGGATAGTGAAATCATGCAGGAGAAGCTAAATTGTGAGAGATTAAGTTGCTACCCCTATCCAGATATCTGTAGTAGTAGGTGAGAAGGGAGAGAGAATGAGGGAGAAAACAATTTCTCTAAGTGCCCTTGACTGAGAATGTCCCATCTGCATGTCAAGTGAAAGCAATCCTAAGCAATATTAGGAGTCACCCTATAACACAGAATGCTGTTTGGAGAGTACATGGCTGGAAGACACTATTAGCAAACAGAGGGAAGTACATATGACATTTATATTTTCTGGCATCTGAGATTACAATACCTGTTGTGTATTTGTTAGAAGTCAAAAGTCTTAGAATTCTATTTCAGGATCATTTAATACAGTTCTTTGTTTCCCAGGTGCTTTCTTGGATTTGCTTAATCTATCTATCCCAGGCCAACTCCCACTCCAGGAAGGAGTGTGAATTGATTAACACTATATATGCAATTTTGTAACCTATGCTTTTTCCACTTATTACATGAGCACTTTCCCTTCTTGAGCATGTTCCACTTATTACATGAGCACATTCCACTTATTACATGAGCACCTTCCCTTCTCATTAAATAATTTCCAGAGAATACTGTATTATTACTAATCCTATATCTAATGATTCCTCTGAGAAGTATATAAAATAATTTTCTCCATACATCTAATATGAAGAGTAACTTACCCATGGGCATGGGTTGATTACCAGATGTTAGTAGATAAACATTAGAACACGAGTGGGGGCAGATTATTGAAGCCAGAGATGGATGCAGAATAAAGGTGGATAAAAGTGAAAGTAAATGGTCCTGGGAACTTAGAGGGGAAAGTAGGACATGGGAGAGTCACAGAGGGATGGAAGGAAATCTCCAAAGGAAAAATGGGCAATTTGGTGATGTGAGAGATCTCACTTAGGAGAGAAAAAGCAGTCTTTATATTTACCACGCATTTGACTTCAGGTACAGAAAAGTGGTGATGTGTACTACAGTGGGACTTAGACTAGCCGATTTGTTAAAATTTCCTGGGGACATTTTTAAACATATAAGGAGTCCCAGGAACC